AAACACTGTATGTATGCCAAGAAAACCCCAAACAGCTGTTTATGATAGAACTTGTTTTTTATTGTTTATTTTTACAACCTTACTTCTTGAAGTGGAATCACAGAAGTGGCTCAAAGCATAAAGTATTCTAATCAAGAGCATAATCTTATTATTGCCCTCCTGGATTGAACTTCCCAACCCAGTGTAGTTTCTCCTTAGACTTATTGATTAATACTTGGTCTGGATACTTATACTATACTTATACTAACACTTAGGCTATGTTGCTTCTTCCTAGTAAGTATTTTTGCTGGTCTTCTAAATAGCAATTTCTCAAAGCTAATTAAGTGACTGGCTAAGAGTATCAGCTAATAAATAGACTACTATAGGAAAGTTTCTCCAGAACATATGCTACAAAAAGGTATTTTTTTGAGGGAAAAAATAAGAATGGGTATAAAGACTGAATTTTTGGCTTTGTTACTGTAATAATCTTATCAACAAGGAAAGTGCTTTGTCTGTAATTTTTAGTTTGAGAAAGTTGCGCATAACACAGAGGGGCTAAGCTTTCTATCCACTACATCATTCTCTTCCCTCCTCCTTCTCTCTCTACACAGAACACACACACACACACACACACACACACACACACACACGCACACACACACACAAATAAGTACAAATAAAGCAAAATTAAAATGTTACAAGAGAAGTTGAATTGTTGGAATAAGCTTAAGTCCTGCAAGTGTGAATATTGATAGGAAAATGGGAAATAATATAGTTTATTGTTGTTCACTCATTTTCAGTCACGTCTGACTTTTTGTGACCCCATTTGCGGTTTTTCTTAGCAAAAATAACTGAAGTGCTTTGCCATTTCCTTTTTCAGCTCATTTTACAGATGAGGAACTGAGGCAAACAGGGTTAAGTGACTCACCCAGAGTCCCACAACTAATAGGTGTCTGAGGTTGAATTTGAACTCATTTCCTTCAGGCTGCAGGACTCGAATTCTATCCACAATGCCACACAGCTGCCCTAGATTATAGTTGAACTGATTAGCCATTAGGTCATGTGTATTGATGAGTATGATGAGAATCAATCACCACGTATTTCTTTTTATTTTACTTTAGTTTCATCTTTTTAGGTCTGATTCTCTTTTTTGCTTCTCCCCTTCTCTCCTTCCTCATCCAATTGAGAATGCAAGAAAAACAAATGAGGACTTTATCAGAGAAAATTAACTCATTTTTCCCCCAGTTCCTTATTTTTCTTCTAATTTTCTTTTAATTTTAGCTGCATTCATTTGGCTTGTGCAGAAACTTTAATTTTATATAGTCAAATGATCCATTTTACTTGCTTTGAACATCTGTATCTCTTCTTTGATTAGATCTAGTTCTTTCTATATTCCACTAAATTGCTTAGGATGTCATCCTTTATGTCTAAATCATTTTGAATTTTCCTTGGTATACAGTTTGAGATTTCCATCTATATTTATAGACTTACATACTTAAGTTTTCCACTGATTAACCAATTGGCCAAATAGTGTAGGTCCCTTCTATTCCAATTTTTGTTCTAATGAGCTGGTTATTCATGCTATCTGATGTATTTTAAAGTACTCATACTGGTTTCTAGCATTTCATGGGTCAAGATAGATTCCAATAGTTTTCTTTTTGAGGGTAGTAATATTTTATTTATTTTCTACTAACCTAATTTTATTATTACTTCCGAGTTTTTATCCTTGTTGTTAGTTTTGTTAATCTCTTATTTTCAGTAGGTCTTGTTAATTGATGAAATTTTATTTCTTTTTAATGGGGGAAGGCAGGGGAGGAAAGAAATATGCAAACATATATTTGACAAATAAAAAAATTTGGGGTAGAAAATTTAAGGGATTAATGACAGAAAAGAAGGAAAAATGAAATAGAGAAAAGAGAGAATGTAAGGAAAATAGGGTAGTAGGGAATGGGGGCTGGGAAGAAGTTCTTGTGAATAAGAGAAATTACCATCTTTCAGGCTGTTTCCTCACCAGAAATACAGCTTGACTTACAACTAGAAACTACTCACCCAGCAAAACTGAATTATAATATTATATTGGCTGGGTGGAGACATTGGGAGATTGGACCAAAAACTATGAAGGTAAAACATCAAAGTAAAAATTATTGCAAGAGATTAAAGAAATACTAAACTTTATCAAAAGATTTTCAGGAAATAATGGAATAGGATAAATTACCTAGAAGTTGATTTACAGAAAACTGATTCTATTTGAAAATTTGGATGATGCCTTTTGAACAGTTATAGGGGGGAAAAGGAAATAAGACTATAGTTATATAGAAATGTTTCTCAAAAATGCATTCAAGTATACATTGCATTTCATAAAATGGGAATCTTATTTTTAAAATATAGATTGTTATAATTATTCTATTCAATTGTATTATTTAGGGTAAGCATTTTTCAAGAAGTTGATGGTGTTGCTAATTATTATTTTCGTCCTAGTTTCAGTTATAAGCAAGTTTGACTTCTGTCTTGAAAGTAATTGTAAAGTTAAAGTTCTTCATGAAATATTTGCTTTCCCAGTAGTTCTAGAAATAACACTTCTCAATCCCTAAAAACAAATGCTGATTTTTTTGTCTTAGTAAGTAAAAAGTTTTTTTCAATACAGAAATCAGGGAAGATAAATTGGAAACATTCAAAAACCCTATTGCCATATGAAATAGATTAAATTTTTCTGGTCACAAGCCAGCTAGCTGTGTATGTATGTCTATATGTGTATGTCAGCAAGATGACTGAAATAAAGTAATGGTAATTTTATTTTCCCAGATTTTTTTTCACAACTTTCATTTCTGGTTTATATATACTTTACAGTTAAGGCACTTATTTTTTAGGTAAAGGAGACTGCACAGGAAATAGAAGACATTCTTGAAGTTCATGCATTGTAACCTCTAATAAAAGAGCATAAGTTTTTTTCTTTTGGATCATGAATGATATTTGGCAAAGAAAATAAGTGAGAACCTTTAAGATGTTACATTTCAAAAATTACTCTGATAGGAGTACTATTAAAACAAATATATACAAATTTGTACAAATTGGCACCAGCCTCTGATACATTTCATTAATTTTTTAAATAATGTTTTATTTTCCAAGTAAGCATATAAAACTGGTGACAAATGTACTGTTAAAATTAAAATGGTTGTAGTATTACTAAATAACAATGTTAATCTTTATTTATTTTGAAAATATATTGTATTTGAAATCTGTGCTTTGTATTCCTATTCACTGTTCTTGAGTACTATTTTCTATATATATATGTATATACAACAGATTGGTTTCTATGTCAACATTTTATTGTTATAAATATTTTGTTATAAGCATTTTCAATAGTTTCATTTTCCTTTTGTTAATCAATATTGACATAATTTTTATAGTAACTGATTTTTAAAAATAACTTTAATGACAAACAAATATTAATGTATCAACAGGAGTTTAGTGAGAGTCTGATGGAAATAGATGACAATCCTTGGCCATATGGAGATTCCAATTTAAGTGGACAATTAATGAATATGTTTATTCTTATATGCTATTTTGACATTTTTAGTTACCAAATTTATCATGAATACTAAACCATTTTTGTTAATATTAATTGGTAAACAAAAAGTTTTTCTAAGCCCCTGGAAAGCAAGCAAAGTTATAAAAAACAGAGAAAAAGAAGAAAGGAAAAGCATAAGAAGTTATCTAATAAGTTTAAAAAAAAACCTTGTAAATTAATTCATTGGTCATTAGAGTGCTTAGATCCTCCATGATTAAGAACAGTTAGAGCCCAATTTGTTGTTTTGTTGATTGGTGAGACTTAAGAAGGTTAAAAAAAAAGAAAAAAGTAAAATCTAGATTATTTAAAAATGAGTTGTATATATATTTTTCCCTAACGGTTCTTAAACTTTTACTATCATACCCCTGCATGCACTCATTTCTTGAAAGAGGGGTAATGGACTCAGGGTAGAGTGATACATATATATTTCAGAACATGAGCAATGTAGGAATTTGTTTATCTTAAATGTGTAAGTTTTGTTTTGTAGAAGTATATTCTTTTCTTCTTGTCCATATATTTAGGTTTTAATAGTAGTCCAAAAGGAATTGTCCACGGTGGAGTTTTTACTTTTTCTATAGTTTTAATATGTCTCTGTTTTTTGGCTTTTTAATTGGTGGTGTACAAATACACTTTTTTCTCTTCAAATTTAAAGTTATTACTTGGTGAATTTAATCTTCTCTATATCAGGCTTACTTGATGTCACTGAATCTTTTGGAAATGCTAATTTTACCTCAATAGTGTCTGTTCTTTGGGTGTTGTAGTAGTGGTTCCTTTTTTTTGCTGTTTAAATGCTCCTGTTTCCTTTGCTAGGTAATAATATTAATAACAATATTAATTGGGTTTTTGGGGGAGGTGGTTCCATTTGGGATTTGCTTGGTAAATATTGGAGTGGTTTACCATTTTCTGTTCTTGTTCATTTTACAGATTAGGAAAGTGAGGCAAGTAGGGTTAAGTGACTGCTTGTCTGGGGTTACATAGGTAGAAAGTGTTTGAGGTCAAAGTTGGTTTAAGTTTCCTCACTTTGTTGGTCAGTGCCTTTCTGAAGTTATGAAGGCATAGTAGTATTTCATCATTGTAGTTTTTTTTTGTTTGTTTCAGAGGTTTTTTTGTCTAAGGTTTTGTTTTTTATTTTGCTATGAAGATCTAGCGTTCAGCACGTAATCTTGTATTTTATTAAATTGCTGTTTAATTGTGGTAGGTTTTTTCTGAACTGTATTTTCGTATCAATATCAATTAATTTTGTTTCTTATTTATTGTGTTTGCTGATATGTTTTGTCAAATAACCATAGATTTTTACTTAAAAAATTATTTTTAGGCGGGTTGCTTAATTCAAATATTTTTTTATTGCTGAAATCCAATCACCATCTCCGTCTGTTTAATATGCGGCCAATAGTTGTTCACAGAGGCTATTTTCACCATGGTGCCTGTTAGCCAATCAGCAGGCTCTCTAGGACTCCGGTATCGCGAGGATTGGGAAATTTTTTTAGTCCCTCGTTGTGCACTGCGCGTTATACTAGCGAACAATACAGGTACGTTTTACTCTCCCTGCTTTCGTGTAATTTTCTGGCTGCATTCGCATATTGTGTTATAAACGTTTGCCTTTTTTATTCTGATCAGGTTTCTTTCATTTAATTTTTCTTTATTGTCCTTTTCCCATTCTTTATACTTTGCTTTCTTACACTTTTTTTGCATGAAAGTATAAAATATGTCTTCAGCTAGTCTTTTCTACTAAACTTGAGATTCGTTACGTTGAATATTGAAACTTGTTTTCGCTAAAATAGTTAATGTACTTTAGGGTTAAGGGAAAACAGATTAAATAATACTTTAGAAGATAAATATAATTTAAATGACAATTTTAGAGGAAAAATGGAATTGTAAAAATATTTATAAGACTCGAATTGGCTTTGCTATTATAACGTTACGTACTGTGTCAGAATTTTTTATGTTTGGAAAATTAATGTTGAATCCTTTAGACAAACGGGAAAAGAAAAATTTGCTTATTCAAAAATTTGTATCTTTTCTTTTTCCTTAAATATGGATCGTATTTATGAAAAATTACACCTTAGATTCTTTACTTAACTAGTTTATACAAATTAAAATCGTAAATTAATTGCATATGTGTTCCTTTCCATCTCATACTTGAAATAAAAGCGACCATTTAAGTTGTGGATTAGCATTACCAAAACGAACGTCACAGACAGAATCAATATTTCGAGTTGACTTTTTTGTCTAAATTAGCCTTCTTTGCTTAATTTCTTACCCTTTATTCGTTTTAATTCTAAATGGCTGAAGAGAGGCTTTGTTATGGTAGTGTAATGAACCAATATTTTCCCACCTGAACCCCTACCCTAAAACAGATATACAAAAACCCCTATGGAAATCTTGGGATTTTTTAATAATAACCTAGCGATAATTTACCTCCAGTTATCAGGCAGCGATTTCTAGAAGGAGGAGTGTGGCTTTGTTAAGAATAGCAGTGTGAGCACGCAGAAGCCATTTTAGTTAAACAGAAAGCCACCGCAGCCTTCAGCCATAAAGCAATGAAGTGCTTTTATTTATTATCTTATATTTACCTTTAAAATTCTTTTGTTCCCACCCCTAAATAACAGCCACCCCTGGAAAAAAAAGTTATTTCTCATTAAAATAGTTAACTGAAACATTAAGGATTTCTTTTTATAAAAAATATAAACATTAAAAATTTTGTATCCCTGGTACAAATTATACAAATACCAATCTTATTTTCTTAATACCTAATATGAATTACCAAAAAAATTTGACTCATGCTTTTAAAAAATACACGTATATACACGTTATATGCATTGAAATTGAAAAAAATATGCACATACCATAAAAGCGTTTTTAAAATCACAGAATGACACTTTTTAGAACAGTTTCCATTATGAAATCAACTAAAACAAAAAGCAAATTAGTTAATTTATTAAAAATGAAAGACGTTGAAAATGACTTTTTGAATTTAACATAAAAATAATAATTTGCAAAGTTGAATGAACTGTTTTCTTTATGAGAGAACTTTCCTGATAATCAAACCTTTATACTAACAAGAAAATTTAATCACTTTTTAATAAATTTTTAAAACCCTTAAACAGAAACTTTTCATTTGGAATAACTGAATTCCTCAGAGCATAGAGCACTGGGTCTGGAGTGAACCTGAGTTCACATTTCAACTAAAATCATTTTCTTCCCATTTCCTCATGTATAAAATTAGGATACTACTACTACCTACTTCCCACGGTTATGAGCATCATATAAGATAAATAACTATGAAACAGCACGGAACCTGGCATATAATAAAAGATACATACATTTTATTATTGTTGTCTTAAAGTAAATACATTAAGGTGAAAGTACAAGCTGAGAAATGAAGCCTTTCCAACCGTTTAAAAAGTTGACTGTCTCAATTGATGAGAAACTTCTTTTCCCCTCAAATACATATTTTATGTTACACGTGGCTCTTCTTGATTCATTATTTTTATTTCTAGTTGCACGCTAGAGATGGCTAAAGGTGACCCAAAGAAACCAAAAGGCAAAATGTCTGCTTATGCCTTCTTTGTACAAACATGTCGTGAGGAACATAAGAAAAAAAATCCTGAAGTTCCTGTCAATTTTGCAGAATTTTCAAAGAAGTGTTCAGAAAGATGGAAGGTAAAATTTTTTAAGAGTTAATTGAATTAAATATTTCTTAATACCTGAAAATCTATATCCATGATTATTTTCCATTGTTTTCCCACTAATAATAGTAATTTTTTTAAAAGGTACCTAGTTGACACAATGGATAAAGAGCTGGATCAGCAGTCAGGAAGACCTGAATTCAGATTCAGCCCCACACACTAGAAACTAGCTGTGTGGCCCTGAGCAAGTCACTTAACTCTGTTTGCAGATTCCTCATCTGTAAAATGAACTGGAAAAGGAAATGGCATATCATCTAGGATCTTTTCCAAGAAAATCCTAAATGGGCTCACAGAGTCAGACATGAATGAAAATAAGTGAACCACAAAAACTTTAAAAAAAAAAAAACTGAAACATTCATTTAAAAAAAATCATAACCATAGAATTTGATTAGTCTATTTCTTTGAAAAGCAAAGCAGAATTTTTACTTTGAATTCATATTGAATATATATTTGTCATTACTCAAGACTTGCCCTGTGAAATTGCTTAGTATATTTGGTTAAACACTACCTTTTACGCTAACATTTTAAAACAGCTATATATTTTCAGTAAAGTTCATTTGATTAATTTTCCATGTTCAAAAATGTTAAGGAACGATTCTAATTTAGAGTAGCAAGATAACAGTAAGGAACTTGTAGCAGTGTTTCTTGTTTTAGTGAGTCTTATTTTATTTGAAATAGTACACCAAGTTCCTTATATATTAATTCAGAAAATATTCAACAGCTATTGTGAACAAGGTACCATTAAGAAATAATAATATGAGAATATGTAGCTATCAAAGTTTTACCATTAAAAAAAACACCATAATAATATGGCCCCAAATTTAGACAATGTATTGATAAAACAAATTGAAGTTAATGCAGTTTTAAAATCTTAATTTCTTAAATTAAAGAATATGTCTGGGAAGGAAAAATCCAAGTTTGACGAAATGGCAAAAGCTGATAAGTTGCGGTATGACAGGGAGATGAAGGATTATGGACCAGCTAAAGGAGGGAAAAAAAAAAAGGATCCTAATGCTCCCAAACGGCCCCCGTAAGTAAAATTTCTGTATTCAAGGAAAATTTAAAAATATCCACTTGTGGAGACATTGCTTTTCAATTTAACTGAAAGAAAAATTTGATTTATTCCTTTAGAGTTTAGTTTACTCAGAAAAAATTGCCCTGAAATCCAACATACTGATTTTGTGTTAAAATTTGGGACCAAGATATGATGCCTCTTATTCATGGGGCTTTTATAAAGTATTTAAAAGATGACAGGCTAATATCCTTGATTATTTCTTCAATACTAGCCCTTTCTCTTCACTTTAAGATGTGTAAATGTCTATTTTTAAAGCTATCCTTTAATTTATAGATCATCTCAGTTCTTAAAAAAAAAGGAAAAAATTCTAAATTTTGTTGGGACTCAGATAATTAAAATTAAAATCTATGACTTTCTCCAAGGTCTGGCTTCTTCCTGTTCTGTTCAGAATTTCGCCCCAAGATAAAATCTACAAACCCTGGGATATCCATTGGGGATGTAGCAAAAAAACTTGGTGAGATGTGGAATAATCTAAGTGATAGTGAAAAGCAGCCATACAACAATAAGGCAGCAAAACTGAAGGAAAAGTATGAAA